TGTCAGTTGCCTGTTGCTGGCCATTTTGTGCCAGCGAGGTCGCTTTTTGTCTGACGTCAGAAAATGTGTCCTTAACAACTGCTGTAGCCTGAAAATGATTGACTTGGCATTCAAAATTGTTGTCTCATTTTCATATTTTTTATACGAATTGCAACCGCACACCCGAAGTCTACATGCGCTTGCAAACACTTGTCTCGTTTGCCTGGACTTTTGATATGTTTACAATAAGTGTGGCCATATATATATTTATATATATATATGTGAGTGTGAGAGTGTGTGCGTGCTATCAGCAACATTCGATTCGCTTACTCACATTTAATTTATTATTATTGGTTTTTTTTTTTTGCTGTTGTTGCGATAAGCTACAATCAACCAGTTGAGGCAATAATTCAAATATTCTGTGCATTATTTCCCAAAAATAACTAAAACTACCTTAACATATGGGATTTAGTATTCAAAAGACTTTCTGCGGGCTCTATTTGCGCAGTTTAGAGTGTATTATTTTAAGGAATTTCAAGATCATGCTACACAAATGTATTTATATCGATTTTTGTTATCCATTCGCATTCCATAGCCGCAAATTTTCACTTGAATTTTATGATTTTATTCAAATTCTATTATTTTATATTACTTTCCATTTGTACATTCTGTACAATTGTTTATATATCAAACATTAAATTAAAATCAAACAGCTGTACAAATTGTTCTAAATCAACACTGCTTTCGGTTTGTTATCATGTTTGCTAAAAAAACATGCATATTAACAATTATTATAGCATTGGGTAATGGGGATTACCCCTAATCACACTATGCGACAGCATTTCATGTTGCCAACATTGATGAAACGCATTTTTTATACCCTTGCAGAGGGTATTATAATTTTGTCGTGAAATGTGTAACGCATAGAAGGAGACATCTCCGACCCCATAAAGTATATATATTCTTGATCAGTATCAACAGCCGAGTTGATATAGCCATGTCCGTCTGTCCGTCTGTCCGTCTGTCTGTTTCTATGCGAACTAGTCTCTCAGTTTTAAAGCTATCTTTATGAAACTTTGCAGAATTCCCTCTTTCTGTTGCACGCAGCTCATATGTCAAAACCAGCTGGATCGGACCACTATATCATATAGCTGCCATAGGAACGATCGGTCGAAAAGTAGGTTCTTGTATGAAAAACATTTTTGTTTATAAAGTTATCTTGACCAAACTCGGTATTTATTAGTTTTACTAGGCTCCCCATATATATGCAAAATCCTATTAAGATCGGACCACTATATCATATAGCTGCCATAGGAAAGATCGGTCGAAAATTAAGTTTTTGTATAGAAAATTTTTATGTGTTTCAAGATATCTTAACCAAACTCGGTATTTATTAGTTTTACTACGGTCCCCATATATATGCAAAATTCTACTAAGATCGGACAACTATATCATATAGCTGCCATAGGAACGATCAGTCGAAAATTATGCTGTTGTATGGAATTTTTTTGTTTTTCAAGATATCTTGACCAAACTCGGCATTTATTAGTTTTACTATGCTCCCTCCACTTATGCAAAAATCTTATTCACATCGGGCAACTATATCATATAGCTGCCATAGGAACGATCGGTCGAAAATTAAGTTGTTGTATGGAAACCTGTTTTGTTTTTCAAGATATCTTAACCATACTCGGCATTAACTATTTTCCCTGTGCTTCTTAGATACGGGCAAAGCACTATGAGCATTTTGAAAAGGTTGGGTCTGCAAGGGTATTAAATCTTCGGTGTGCCGAAGATAGCACTTCTTTCTCGTTTTAATTTATAGATAGCAAAATGCGTTTTTAAAATTTATTTTAAATAAAAAATAAATTATAATAAATCTTTCCAAATGTTCTTTAAAAAAATGTAAATCCTTAAAAGATGTAAACATTTTTGTTAGTTCAGAAATAGTATTTTTTTAAGTTAAGTTAAGCGATCAAGTTTTATTTTTTCAAGGGCAACGACAACACATCACAACAAAACAATCATCAACTAACAAAACTGATTTCATGCGATTCGCATTACAAAATTATCATTAAACCTTATTATCAGAAATTTGTGGAGCACTAATACTTTTGTACCTAAGAAAATCGATGACTCAGTGTGTAAATTGTTTACAAAAACATTCTATATAGAGTACACTTTGGATGGCAATTAGAAATAAGTATATGCATACACAATCCAAGGCATTATCATATAACTATTATAAATATAAAGCTGGATTTCCTCAAATTTATAGTTAAGAAAATGTCTTTAATGTATCCTTGACGGCGCCTTAACCGGCATAAGCTGTACCTCTAGCTAACGACATTACACCTGGCCAAAACACATCTGGAATATTTAATTAGACATTCATGTGTTGTTGGTTTTGTCTGAGGCCTGCGGTTCTCTGCTTTTAATTGCAATTGAGATTCGTGCATTAAACTTAATATAAGCTAAGTGTAATTAATTAATTAATTAGGTGTTTGCTGTGGACTTTAAGGTCGTTCATTGGCATCCGCTCGAAAAGCAGTGCTCACCAAAGTTACGCTCTTTATCAATCAAATTTGATTGATATTTAAGTTGTGTTTTGGCAAAGCCGATGCTCAGTTTGACGTGTTGCGTAGTGTCGCAATGGCGTCAAGTGAATGGCCATAATAAATCTGGCGCTAAGCAACAAATGGTCGATCAACTGCGACGTCGCTTTTTGACCAAAAGCAGAAAGAGACGGTTACAGAGAGAGAGAGAGAGAGAGGGAGAGAAGAGCGCGAGCGGCTGTGAGAACTTGAGTGGCGGCAGTCATTGAACTATTTACTCACGACCTTGCATACATATACATATAATAGACATAATGCTTCTACCTAAGACATGGCCCCAAAGAACCGAAAGTCAAGAGTCCCACACACACACACACAGCGTTTCGCTTATTGCACGTTTAATTGTTGTGTAAACAAATGGAATTGCCACATGTAGCAACAACAACAACGACGCCAACAACAACAACACAACGTAGGCACTGACGCTGACGTCGGCATTGAGTGTTGCCTCGCTTTCGGTTCAATTTTTTTTTTGTATATGTACGTATAACTACGTATAAGACTTAACTTCATTTTATACGTTTTTATTACTTATTCCACATTCATCGATTCGCGCGTGATTCATTTTCAGTTTTGGTTTTGTTTTCTTATTGGCCATTCGTTGGCGTTCACTAACTGGAAAACGAACTGGAAACGTGGTAATTAAGCTATCTCTCTCATTGTATTTGACGTGGTTGTTGTTGTTGCCGTTGTTTCTTATTGCCGTAATTTCCCTTAAAACATTTTTTCGTATTATTTTTTTTTTGTACGCAAAACTTTTGCAATTGCCTTTGCCTCGCCCCGTTTGCTGCCCCCACTCTTAATGCTCTGTTCTTCTCTTAACTTGGCTGGTCGAACTGCGCAGTTTGTGGAGTCAACGTTTTTTTCGACGTGTTTGTCTTTATAATAAACACATTTCGTCGTACGTTTTCTGTTTCCTTCCAACGCATTTAGCATTTGAGCTCTGTTGCCTTTCGTCTGCTTTTTATTTCATATTTAAACAGATCACAAATGCATAAATAAAGCAAAAGGAAAGAAAAAAAAAAGCAGCAGAGCAAAAATTAAACAAGTTCAGCTGCCGTTAACTTGCTAACAGAAAGAGGGCGCGAGAGCGAGAGAGAGACAGCAAACAAGAGAGCTGAAGAGTGAAGATTGCCTCTCTTACTGATTTTTGCCTCAAGTTGGCAGCAACGAATGCTTAACTTATTTTAATTAGCGGATTGAATTAAAATGGATTTATACACAATTATATAAAAAAAATATATCTTGATCAGTGAAGTTGTAACTCTGCATATTGCGCAGTTTGGCTTCATGAATAACATATGATTTTTAATATAGATCTAGATCTACCGCAAGAAATATCTAAAGATACAGCTAATACGTGAAGCGTTATTTTTCTGTTCCCACTCTTTGACAAGAGCTAATCACATTGTTTACTCGCAGAATAGAATGGATAAAATATAGCATTTGGCTCATTGTTACGAGCATAATAAATAAAGATAGTCTAGATAATCTACAAATTATTTTTTTATTTTAAGTTGAACCTATTTCGACATATTTTTGCTTTTCAACAGCTTAGTATCTTGAAAAACTAAGTTTATAAATATTATACTACCATTCTATCATTCCTATGAGTGCTGCGTAATGAGTTCCGATGCAAAATAATTTCTTCTTTAATATAAGGACCACCCTAAATGTGGGACTTGGACAACTTGATCATGATTTCTTAAAAACCAAAAACGGTTTTTTATAAAGAAACTCAACTTCTCACCGATTGTTGACATTGCATTTTCGATTTTTTGATCCAACTCGGCCGAATTTCCCACATGAACTGCCTGCAAAGTTTCATTAAGATACTTTCAAGAGAGGGAGAGAGTTATATGTATATATAAGTTATATGTATATATATGTATATAACCTATAAAATATATACATACATATCTATTTATGGATTTGAACCGGCGTCCTTCGTTGCGTTGCAGCCGAAATATACTGAAAAAATCGTATTAAACCCAAATTTTAGTAAATCGAGCCAGCTAATCAAATATTTTAAATCTAAATACTTTACAAAGAATGCAATAAAATAGTACATACATATTTCGGCATTAAGCTGCACTGCCTTTTGCAAGGTTACCACATCTTACTATTATAGCTAATCATATCGAGCGAGCACTGTATACGTTTATCGTCAGAAGTTGCCAGTAGCTATCGCTGCTGGCGCTTACTCACCTGAGCTGCGTTTAGCTGTTTGTTCCATTACGTGATGCGGTGCTTGTGAAATATGTACATGAATTCGCAACGCAGTTAGCGAATGTACGTGTGTGTGTGTGTGTGTGTGTGTGAGGCTGCGTCACTTTAGTTGCGTCCTATTGCATTGATAAGAGCACCTTTTGTAATGCCTATCTGTTTACTCTCGCTTCCTTGCAGGCTGATGACAAATCCTTGCTGGCACGTTTCTACCATGCAGACCGTTCGCTGACGGCCGTGGCTAGTGAGCTGGACAGCTTCGATGGACGCGCCGAGCCGGATCGGTGCACGCGCTTGGTCAGCAGACTGCGCCAGAATCAGGTGAGTGCCACGCCTACTAATTAAAGGGTCATCTTTAAAATATGGTTAATCGTTTGCAGGACAAAGTGTTGGCCATAACCAACTTGATTATGGAAGAGCTGCTGGGCGAAGAACGTGATCCGCGTGCCTTTCGCGCCAAATTCCCGGAAGAAGTGCTGCAGGAGAACCTGGCCGGGCAGCTGTGGTTTGGCGCCGAGTGCCTTGCCGCCGGCTCATCGATTTTGAACCGCGAATCCGAGAGCAAAGAGATGCGTCCGCTGGCCCAAGCCGTCACCAAAAGTCTGAGCAATGTGCGAGTTCTGCTGCGCGATCAATGCCTGCGCAACAATGTGCCCAACAGCAAGACGCTTCACCTGGACTTTAACGATTCGACTACCGAGCAGCTGTACGAGAGTCTCAAGATCTTCGATCATCTCTTCGCCGAGTTCGAACTGAGCTATGTGAGCGCCATGGTGCAGGTGAAGTCGCGTCACGAATACGAGATGCAGCAATGGATTGGTGTGCTCTTCTCGGAAACGCTGCAGCGTGCCCTGAAGATCGGACTGCTCGATCAGGACATGGTGGATGCTTTCGATCCGGGCCTTATGTTTTCTATACCACGATTGGCTATTGTGGCCGGTTTGGTAATCTATGCAAAGGGTCCGCTCAATATGGATATGCCGGGCGATGAGCTCTCCGAAATGTTTCGTCCATTTCGCACAATACTTATTAAGATCAGGGATCTGTTGCGCAACCTGAGCAAACAGGAGCTGTATCAGCTGGAGAAACTGCTCTGCACCAATGAAGAGATCAACACGAAGGTTAGTCTTCTCGTTCAATTTGTAATTGGCGCTTTTATTTATCTATTCTGGTTTCGCCTGCAGGTGCCACTAGGCTACAGCAGCATTGAGGCACCCAGTCCTGAGCACAACGGCAGCAACAACCACAACAACAATAACAATGCCAACAGCAGTGACAGCGGCAGCACAAAAACCAGTACAACAAGCCCGCACAAAGCCGTCGAACGCCTGGTGGATCATCGCAACAACAACAACAGCAACAACCACAACAACAGCAGCGGCAGTGCGAGTGCAGCCACACAGGCAGTCGCACGCTCTCCGTCCATGTTGTCGCTCTCAGCGGGCAGCACGCCCACAGCCTCGCCAGCGCCCTCGCCCACGCCCTCTCATTCCATAGCATCCACCTCTTCGGCGGCCACGACCTCCACAAATCCGCCGGCCAACTGGAGCGAGGATGATGATGATGATGAGGTGGAGGAGGAGGAGGGGGAAGACGATGAGGAGGAGTGTGGTATGCTGGACAGCGATGAGCAGGACTTGAATGATGATAGCGACAGCGATGTGGATGAATATATTGAGGCACAATTGAAGGCCATTGTGGCAGCGGCGGATTGTGCCTCCGGCTATCTAATACCCAATACAAATCTGGGCAATCTATTGCAACCGCAAACGGCGCCACTCACGGACAACTTCGTGGCCAGCGAAGACGATGAGTTTGGCGCAGAACAGGAGCAGCAGCAGCGGCAGCAAGGGGAGCAACTGCAGCCATCAGAGCAGCAGGAGGAGCCCAGCACCAGTGCTGCCATGTTGGCCGCACGACGCACACTGCAGCGTCTGCGTTTGCCCAGCAGCAGCAGCGAGAATGAGCAAACGACCGGAAGCAATCAGCAATTGACAATCAAAACACCAAATGGCGGCGGGCAGTCAATGCGCAGCGGAAGCCATCGACAACGGCACCACAGTCACAGTCACCATCATCATCGACACCATCACCACCATCACCATCACCGCCAGCATCATCAGCAGCAGCAGCCAGCACAAGCGGAGCAGCACAGTCAAAGTCACCATCATCATCACCATCAGACGCATCCGCATCGCACAAGTCGCAGCGCACGCAAACGTTGCAGCCAGGAGCATTGGGAGTCGACGACCGCTGAGCAGCAGCAAACAATGGATCATGGCCATGGCGTGGCGAGTGCCGATACCAGCAATGCCTCGTCCTTCTCCGATGATGTGTCGCTGGCCATGCGCAATACCACAGCGCGCCTTAAGTTTAAGTGAGTATCCTTCTGACATATATATCGGCATATATGGCGGCAATTGCGTAACCTATTATCATCATATTATCCACAGGAGCACTGAGAATCTGCTGCACCGTCTGTTCGTTTGCATTGCTGGTGTTGCCGATCAACTGCAGACAAATTTTGCCTCTGATCTGCGCCAGATATTGCGCAGCGTGTTCCTTATCAATATGTCTTCGTCCCAGGAGGATATTGATATACCAGAAAAGACAAAGGAATCGGAGCTATTCGAGTTTCGTGCCTCGGAAAACGATGTGATACAAGAGAGCGCCGGCTCCAATCAAAGCATTTACTCAGCCGAGGAGGTCAATCCGGAGCTGGACAATGTGTTCAACATGGGCAGCGGCAACGGTAGCACCAATGCAGCCCGTCACTCCGCGGGCGCGGCAATGCAGCGCAACAATACCATAGATTTGGCCGGTGGCGGCTACAACAACAACAATAACAGCGGCGGCAGCAGCAGCAGCTCCAACAGCTCGACAGTGGCACGCAGCCATGTGGCGCGCAGTCGCAGTTTGGGTGATCAGGAGGCAGCCACCAGCGGCACGTTGCAGGAGGAACAACGGCAGCAGCTGCAACAGCAACAGCAGGCGCAACTGCAGCTACAAATGCAGCGACAGCGCAACAATTCCGTTGGCAGCAATTCTCCTTCTAGCGCCTCCTCGAGCAGCTCCAGCTCGGAGAACAATTCACCCATAAGCACGCGCAGTGGCAGCCGCCGGCGTCTGCATAGCAACTCGGCATCGATGCCGTCCATAGGCTCAACGACAACAACAGCAGCTGCAGCAGCAGCCGCCACCACCACAACATCATCAACAACAACGACAATGTCGCCACCTGCCTGGATACCCGATGGCAAGGCGCCGCGTTGCATGTCCTGCCAAACGCCATTCACAGCCTTCCGGCGACGTCATCATTGCCGCAACTGCGGCGGCGTCTTTTGCGGCGTCTGCTCGAATGCATCCGCACCGTTGCCCAAATATGGTCTGACAAAAGCGGTGCGCGTCTGCCGCGAATGCTATGTGCGTGAGGTGCGCTCGTCCCGGACACAGACGCACAGCCAGGCGAGCAGGCCGCAGGCAGCGAGCGCCTCTTAGGAGTGGCCATTGGCGCTGCCAACGCCGAGACCAAATATGTGCGCAACTCTACTGGCGCCGCCCCAATGGAGGGAAAAGCAAAACTGTGAAACGCAATCGTTCGTCAAAATTGTTTTTGTTTTTTATTATATTTTGTAACCTAAAAGAAAAGAGAAAGATTTTCAATTCCTAGACAAGAAGCCCGCATATACCCCATAAATATATATTTATACATATATATATATACGATCTATATATAGATATACCGCTAAATTCTATTATTTTTAACAAATTGACCAATTCGAGTGTCGTATCAAAACTGTACAATAAAGCTTCGATCTATGTATTATACGCAACTATCCATGTAACTATATATTACACAGATATACATATATATTTATATATGTACCATTCGGTAAACCTATAAATATGTAACTGCAAACAAATGCTTTCAGCTCATATCATATGTATCAATGCAACATATAGAATATATATAAATATATATACACACACACACACACACATTTCTCTATGTATGTCTATATCAGATGATGGCCTGCATTTCAAATAGATCATTTTCGGTTTTGGGACTGGGGTTCGTAGCGCAACGGATCGTAGCTATTAAATTGAAATTGTTCTCGTGTCACGTTTAAGATCTAGATTCTAGTACATAATGTATATATATTTTTGTAGCATGTGCAGCAAACTGAGCAGAATAATAGACATAAATTCTAGCGAAAATTTGCATAAAATTATTGTGATTTATTGTTATTTATATACCCTGTATTAGTCCCAACATTAATTTCCGCAAAAAGCAACAGCAATACCCATTAACAATTAAATGTAATAATAACATTTACTTTATGTACAGGGCATATAAATATATACAGATATATATATATATATAGTCGGCATGAACCGACTATTGTGTTCTTACTTTATACGAAATCCAATTTATGTTAAACATTTCTTTAAGCTAGCGGAAAATTGATTTCAACTTTATAAAACACAGTTTTACACATAATATACATATATGCCTATATATATATTTTTCTGACTTGAAATAAAAACTAATAAAAAATCAAAAGCAAAAAAAAAACTGTTTAATAAATACATATATCATATTTTGCTTAAATCAATAAAACGAAATTCTAAATGATTGGGTGGAGTTCAGTATGTTAATAATATATATATTTAAAAGAAATCTTTAAAAATAGATGGAAAGTTTTTTGGCTTACGCTTGTAGAGGGTATTATAATAAGTTGATATATTCTGGAAGGATTGCCAAACTTGATGAGTTCGAACAAAAATTGAGAGTTAATTTAAAACTGCATTTGCATTTTCATTTTAAAATTTTTTTTACCAAACTAACCAATTTTGACTCAACTGGGAAGTTGAAGCTTTAATAGGGACAATCGGACGTAAATTTAGTTTATGTAAAATGCCATGCTAAATTAAGCTTCAAGAATCAGATATATATATAGAAGGTATTCGTAAGTTACCTGTACTTTCTAGTCTTAATTTAAAGCTGAACGAAATTATATAATTAAAATAAAATAAATCTATAAAATATAAATAGTATATATATTAGGTATTAGGAGGCTTTACCTTAGCATATATATATCTAGCAATCGCTGCGGATTGCATGATTAAGTATATCATATGTACTAAAATTAGTTGAAAATGTATAAATATATATATATATTAAATCAAGTCTAATATACCACAGGATATAATATACTCATAATATACTATATATACATAATATACTCACTATACTAAATATTAAGTCCAACTGTGCGTTAATAGTACTTACTAACTTTTACGCATGCCAATCTGAACTTCAGTAAAAACAAATTTCTGTTTTTTTTTTTATTTGAGACTGAAGTTAGTTTGCGTTTTAATTCTGTTCGTATTGTTTGTTTTGAATTTTTCATAGGCGTGTTTTATTTTTTTTTTTTTGCGCGCTTTTTACCAATTTCTTTCGTTGCTTTGCAGTTATTTTTGCTGTTGCATTAGTTTCACGTGTTTTCATATTTGTCGCACTCCATTCTTAAAGGACGACCATGCCGGACCGGAAGCTGCGCAAAAAGAAAACCGTTGAAAAATCGGAGTCGACTTATTGGCGTACAATGATGCACGATGAAAAATACGCCGACCAGGTGGATGCAGCGCAATTGGATCTGATTGAGGATTTGAACGAAGATTTCTTTGGCATATCGTACGAGCTGGTGCAGCATCTGGTGCCTTTAAATACCTTTGTGGCCAGCAAGGTGAAGCGCTTCGTGGACATTTTGGCCAGATTGCATGCATACTACGTGGACGAGGTGGAAGCTGCCAAGGACACGCAGGCGAAAGTCGATGCCGCAAATACAAAGCTACAGCTCGCCATTGAGGCGTCTGCCGATTCACATAATTTGATGAAGCGACTGCGCGAATCGTTGGCCGAGGCCTGGCGCACAGCCGATGCGGTCGAATATCGCGAGGCCCTGGCGCGGAACACTCAAGTGGACTATACCACAAAGGAAAATCATGCCAAGATATTGCAATCCAATGACAATCGTTATACGTAAGTACTATAGAGTTGCAATTAAGATCTCCCTTTCACTCACGGTCTCTTTCTCTCGCTCTCCCTCTCTCAGCAAGGATATGCGCATACGCGGTGTTGTCTTTCGGGAACGGGATCGTCTGGCCAGAGAGCTGAAAGAATACCAAAAGCGCCTGGAAACGAATCGCTTCTATGCCGCTTCCCTGGAGGCCATCATTTTAGATCATCGCACTACGATTAAGTCTCAGCAACATCGCGTTAAGCAGCTCGAATCGGATTTATATGGCCTAGAGCACAAGAAACGTCAAATTGTGGAGGGCCTGCAGGATAAGGTCATCAGTCAGCGCAAGGAACTGGAGTATCTGAATGCAGTGAATCAGGATATGCACGTTTTTGAGAACAAATTTCATGAGACCTCGACCCTTAATAATAATCTAGGACAGGCAATCGATCGGCTCTCGCATGAGAACTACAATTTGATGAAGATCAATCATCAAATGGACGAGGAGCAACGTTACACCAATGCGGTACTCAAAAATTTGGAATCCACCAATAAAGCGCTGCTGCACAAAAAGGATGAATTGGAGCGAGCAATTCGACTAAGTCACAACGATAAGAAAAAGAAAGCCGAAATCTATATGCTGCTCAATCGTCGATTCCATCAGCTGTCCAAGAAGAACGCCGAATACGCTGAGCAGGAGACGTACATAAAGTAAGTGTCAGTCAACATAAAGATGGATTTGTGGGAGCATATTTTTTAAAACGCCGTCTTAGTGTAAGCTTTCTAGTTCGAGCTGTGCATTGATAAACAGCCTGTCAATCAGTCAGGCTGTGAGCCAATCAATCAGTCTGATCGCCAGTTTGTCAAATAATCTTCAATTTTTTCAATAGTACCTTCAAACAGTCAGTCAGTTCGACGAGCAGTGAGTCAATCGGTCAATCAATATGCCATTAAATCAAGCAGTCAGTCTTATAGTTGGTCAATCAGTCTGTTAATTAGTGAGTAAGTTAACCAATTAGTGTGTCGTTAAATCATTCATTATGTCAATCAAACCTTCTGTTAGTCCATCGGTCAATCAATCAGTCAGCGATTCATTTAGTCAGTTAACGAGCAAGTCAAACAGAGAGTCAAGTCATTTAATCGGTCTGTCAGTCAATCAATCAATCACCATAAATAGCTCCCCAACTTTTCTCTCACTGTTCTCAGTAACGAGCTGACTGCGCTCGAAAAGAAACTGTTGGTGACCAACGGGCAACTGGAGGATATGATACGGCAGAAGGAGGATATCACACGGTCTTATAAAAAGTTGCAAACGGAGATGGTAAATCATAACGATGCGATGGCTGTATTGCGGCACGATCTGGTCGTGCAACGCAATCGTATGCAGGATGTGCAAATCCAGCTGGGTCGGGCGAACAAAATGTTGGACGACAAGGATATAAAAATACATAAGATAAAGAGGGAGGTCAACGAGCTGCAGGTAGAGGGCAATGAGCTGAACAAGACAATCGAGTCATTGGAAGGTAAGTGGCATAAACAGACACACACACACTCAGAGACTGACTCACACACACGCACGCATGTTGCACTTGCAGGGAAAATGGCACGAAAGACGGAGAAACTGGCGGAAGTTAGGGAGCAGCTGGAACATAAGCACGAGAGCTATCTGAAGGCCAAAAAACAAATGGAATTTGTGCACAACGAGAAGATAATGCTGGAGAAGAATCTGGACATGTGCGGCCGGGCGAGGCAGAGATTGGAGGATATCAATGGCAAGCTCAGCTTTCAGATCAATCAATTGTGCCAGCAATTGGCCACCAACGAGAAGGAAATAGTCATGCAAAAGAATCGCATCGATCAGCTGGACAATCTGGTGAAGCACAAGCAGAACGAGATTCATGCCAAGGATCGCCAGCTGGAGCGCATGCGCACCGATCTGACCGAGATGAAGATGCATGGGGAGCAGCTGCAGCACACCATCGAGCAGGATGAGAAGCGTTTCAAACAGATCACCATCAGCCTGGACGAGGTCAACAAGGAAAAGACACTGGTCGGCCAGCAAATGGTACGACGAAACGGCGAGCTGCGCGTCCAGCAGGAACGGCTCGCCATGATGCAGCTGGCAATCAAGCGCGGCACCATGCAGTACAATCAGCGGGTGGACGATATACGACTGCTCAAAACGGAGATCACCAATCTGTCCATGTCCAACGAGTGCTTGCGACGTGCCCTCAACGATACGTCCAACATGCGCCACGAGGTTGTGCGGCTCGAGCGTCAGCTCAATCGTGAACGCCTGCACGTGGCCGCGTTCACGGAGGAGATGAAGTATCCATATCGCATACATCGCTGGCGTGTGCTAATCGGCAAGGATCCGTGTAAATATCAATTGATACGCAAAATACAGGTGCTGCTCAAGCGCAACATACGGCTCAGCGTGGAGCGTGGCAATATGGAGCGTCGGGTGCAGGATATACAGCGACTATACGATACGCTCAAGGAGCAGCTACAGCATATGCCCGATCCCGATACGGTGAAGCGTCTCTGGCTGCAGCAGCAAATCAATCAGCGGCAGCGCCGCAAGGTGAAGGCGATGCGAGCCGAGCTGGCCATCAATGAGATTGATCTGAAGTCGCGGGAATTCATCATTGATGAGTTTCAGCAGGTGATCCAAAAGGAGCAACTGCTGCAGCAGCCCAACACAGCGATCGATCAGCTACTTAAAATAGTCTCCGTATCGCGCAAAGGCCGTGCCCACAAGCACCAGCAGGTCTTCCACATGGGCTCCAGCGAGCTTTGCGGCGACTTTGCATACTCCACCGCTTGAAAGGAAAGCCAACGACTGTAGCTTTTAGCTGGTATATGTGCATTTATTTAGGCGATCCTCTAGAGCAACGTGCTGATCACCTTGAAGCCGGCTCCCAGGGTGCGTGGCAGCTGCGCCGGTGCCGAGTAGCAATGCGCCTGCATCTGCTCCCATAGTTGACGCTCCTCCAGAAGCTTCTGTTTGCGTCGCTTCTCCTCCAGCAGCTGCGTCTTGGTCTGCGCCAGGCTGCCGCGCAGCTCAACCAGCTGCTGGGCGTTGCATTTCTCGCCAGCCTCCCGGGCACTCAGCTCGGCCATGAGCACCTTTAGCTTCCGATCCTTGGCGGATACGCAGGCCTGCAGGCGAAACAAGGCCACAAAAGCGGCAGAATACGAAGATATGTAAACTATTATTTACTACGAACAGATTATATTTTTAATATGAAGAGGGTTTTGTTACTTTCTTTTATTCTGTGGATATATGAAAACTTTTAGATATAAGTGGAATAATGCTCAGGACAAAGAATATAGAAGCTAAATGATGTGACCAAGGAGGACAATCTATTATAATCTGAGGTAGAATTATGTCTATGGATGTATATTTCATTAGAATATGCTATTAGAAAAAGACGAGGAATATAGAAACTGAATAATGTGACCATGGATGAAAATCTTCTATAATCTGAAGTCAAATCATGGGATACAATTCTACTAGACTCGCGATAAAAAATAGGACAAGTATAGAAAAGATAAATAATGTGGCCATGGAGGACCCAGAACGTTTTTTGGCTTTAGCAAACTGTAAACTCTCCCACAGAATAGAACCTGACTGAATACTAAAAATATTTGCCAGTAGGCACATCATAGACTAAGGCCGTAAACAGTAACGTAACGTAAGTAGTAAAGTAACGTAAGCAGCCACGCCCACCTTGACAGTGTTTAGCTCCGCCTGCACCTTGTGACTGGGCAGCTTGAGCATGAACTCCTTGAGTGCCGCATAGAGCTGTTGCGCCTCAGTCAGCGCCCGCTCCTGCTCCAGGGCAGCCACATTCTGGCTGAGCAGCTGTTTGCGCAGGATGTGTATGCGTTCGAGCAAATCCATTTTTTCCGGATCCTTGCCGCGCAACAGACGCCAGCGATGCACATTCATGGGCGTCATCATTTCGTCCTGCAGGGCACGCGCCTTGATGCGTTCCTGGTTGAGCAGGCGCTGCATTTGCAGCAGCTCCTGCCGCAGATCGGCGGCACTTTCGCGATCGGCGCGCAGCACATTGCGTTCCGTGCGCAAGTTTTTAATCTCGACGCCCATTAGACGCATATCGTCCTGGCACTGGAGCAACTGACGCTCCGTCTGATCGTGGGCGGTCTGCAGATTCTCCAAATTGTGCTGGAGTTTGAAGTACTCCTCGTTGCGCTTGGTCAGCGCCGCACTGATCGAGTTCTTCTCGTTCATCAGATTGTCGACATCCTTGCGCAGGCGTGCCAAACGCTGTTCGTCCTCCTGCAGCGATTTCGCGTGACGATCGTTCTCCTTGCGCTTGTCCAGCAGCTCCGCCTTGGTGTGCTGCTGACCCAGCTGCGCATGCCGCACATCGTTGCGCAGCAATCGACGCTCCTTCTCCATGCGATCAATTTGCAGCTGAAGCTTGCTCAGCTCACCATCCCGATAGCTAATCTTGCCCTTGAGCGTCTCGATCTGTGACTGCAGATTGCTTAACTGATCCCGCAGCTTTTGCCGCTCCTCGTCCGCGGCTTGCAGCGAACGCTGCAGACCCTGCCGCTCGCTGGACACAAGATCGTGCTGCTGCTGAAACTTAGAGCACTTGGTTTCCAGATCGCTAATCGTGCGCTTCAGCTCGATCTCTTGATTCTCCTTCAGATGAATTTCATCTGTAATAGGATGTGACATGAATTTTAATAGAATTTTCCAATACAGCAGCACACTTACTTTGGAACAGATCGACTTTATCAACCCACTGCTGAATCTCGTCCAGCTTTTTGGCATTTTCCTTTTTCTGCTTCTTCAAGTCCTCCTGCAGTTTTTTCTGCTTCAAGTCCATACTGCTGATGATGTCCTTGAGCGCGCGCACCTCGTGCTGGGACTCCTGATATAGGGCGACGTTTTTCTCAGCGCTCTGATGCTCGCCCTGCAGATCTCGCTTGAGCACATCGCGTTCCTTGATCAGATTCTCATTGTTCTTCTCGAAATGATGCACCACACGACGCATGGACTCCAGCTCCTTGTCTTGGGTGCCCAGCTGGGTTCTGTAAATGCAAAATATTTAATGTATTCCATATATATTATGGAGGATGTGGCACATCTACTTGAGCCGCATATTCTCCTGCTCCACCTCCTGCTTGGACATCTCCAGACCGCCATATTTGCGTGCGATGGTCTCCTGTGATTTGGCCAGCTTGGCGTTGTCTTGGCGCAGCTTGATGAGCTCATCTTCACGCACCTTAAGCAGATTAATGCGCTGATTCAAGGCACGTTTATTTTTGTCCCGCTCCTGCACCGTATAGTCCAGATCCACCGTAATCTTGGCCAGCTTATTGCAGGTGCTGTTGTGCAGCGTATTCAGATGCTCCATGTTCGTCTTCAGCGAGAGTATTTGCAAATTCTGACGCACCTTGACCTTGGTCAGATGCTCATTGGACGTCTTGATGTGTGCTATCTGCTCCAGATATTTGGTCTCCTCGCTTTTCATGGCAGCCAGTTCCTTGGACAGAGCATCACTCTTGCGCTTCAAATTGCACGCATCGCTGGAGGTTTCCTGATCCGGCAGATATCTATTATAGGCAGTGTCTATCGATCAGCTTTATTTCATACTTACATCCAGCAGCTTGAGGATCTCCTTGTTTTTGCCCTCCAGCGCCTGTATGGTGGCCTCCACCTCCGCCGCGTAGGCGCGTTGCAACTGCAGGCGCTTGTTTAGCTCCTTAATTTCATCATTGAGTCTTTCACATTCTTTGCTGTCATCCCGCTTGCTGCTCTTGGCGCGACCCTTTTCGTTAAGGTGTATGATCATCTGCTCGGCGGCATCCAGTTTCTGACGCAGACTCAACACCTCGTCCTGTGCCGACTGCTCGCGTATCTGGGAGGCATCCTTCTGCTTCCAAGCGCCCTCTGTGCAGGCAACATATATGATAGACAAGACGATCGTTGCTCTCTCTAAACACTCACCTATAACCCCACGCAGCTGCTCAATGGTGGCCATATCCAATTTGCTTATGTTCGCCGCATTCTCCAGACGCTCCTCGAGCACAGCTATTTGTTCGCGCAGCTCTTGCGAGCGACCCTCCTCCATGCGCAGATCATTCTTGTAGCGTGTGCCACAGATGAGCAGACGCTGCACATTGTCCGCATTGTTGGGCGTATCCTTTTGACGCAACGCCTTGGTTGCCTGCAAATGTTTAACGAAATTGTTAGAGCGTCCTGATTCTCGTAAAGATGCGGCTCACCTCGGGTATCTTATCGCTGAGCTCCCTGAAGAAGTCATCATCAAAGTCATCTGGCACCAACGGCTCGTCCTCCGAGCCCGAAGCCTTGGACATTTTTGGATAATATAAATTTGCTTCCCTTCAACTCAGCTCTTCGTATCGACTAAACCCAAAAGTACATAAATTGGCGTCCTGGCAACAAGTTGCCATACCGGCGCACAAGGCATATCCTAGCAACGTATCCAATCAACAGGTTTTAAGCTTGTAAATTGCGGCAGTTCCGTTTATTTGGTTAGGACATACACATATCTAGCTGATAATCTCTATGGAAACGTTGAATATCGAGTCTTAGCTTTTACTAATAGATGACTAATAAATATTCGTGGCATGCCACCCTAATGGAAATGCTTGACTTAAGCCTAATAATTTAACTAATTCGCTAAGATGACATCACAAAAGCTTCAATCCTTCGCACAAGCACTATGGCCACTCATCCTCGAAGATTGCGTCGTGCACAGTATGAAAACTAAGACCGTTGCCCTCGGGTCTGTGCCACGAGGGCAGCAACACGGAGCGCCAAAACGATCTGAAAAGAAAGTGTATTGTGTTAGTGAAGTAAAAGTATGTATTTAACGACAGGAATTACCTGCCACGCACAAGGCCCAGAAATAGTTTCCAATTCTTTTTGGTGCCAAAATTATAGGGATTAACGTAAATGCGTTTGAGTTGTAAGAATCTTTTGCGTTCAGCCTCATTAATATGCGCCTCCACACTGGTCTCGCCGCGTGTGATGAGCTTGGCGTGCCAGGTGCAAAGGGTGCCCAGGGCAATCACCACTGCCACATTGGTCACGGCCATAAACCATAAAATGCGTCGCCGTGTGGGCGTGGAGTCAGCCAGCGTGTCTGCCATGGGCGTGGGCAAATGATGCACAGCTGCTGGCAACAGGATGTCATCGTACTCATGCGGATGCGTCTGCAAACCATATACATATATATAAAGGGAGTTGCAATAATATTTGGATTGAATAAACGTACAACACGTATAGCATGTCCGCTTAGATTGAATTTGACTGGGTGACCCTCGAGCGGTTCCAATTCCGTCCAGTGCTCGCTGTGATCCAGCCAGAGATATTTGTAGCCAATCTCCAGGCCGCACACAATAAGAAACAGGCAGCCCAGCGTGGTGTACAGCATATATAGAAAGAAGTAGCGATGATTCGCATAACCCACGCAGTTATTAAGCCAAGCTAAAAATGAACTTTGCTATAAACAGTACAAAGAGGGAAGTCAGACCCTATACGCACGACAATGATGATCCATCTTCAATATGCAGCGATTGCACACGGAACAGTGATGCGTGCGCGGCGGCTTTGGGGAAATGCATTTGGTGCACATGCTGACGGCCTCCACATGGCTAACACCTTCTGGGGGCTGTCCAGCGGGCGTTATCACAGCCATCACATAATGGAAAATAATGTTTAGGAGCAGCCAGTTGCCCACAATAAGCAGCAGTATCGTTGCCACTTGGCTCTTGGCCCACCAAAAGGGCAGCCCAATCCAATAGGCGATGCCCACAACGGCAGTAGTCAGTATAGCCACGCCCACAACGAAGAACTGAAAGTACAAACAAGAAAGAACTTTTAGCTGAGGGTTGGCCAAAGGAGTTAGACATTATATGATAGGTATTTCATACAGCTCGATGGGCTTAAAAATAATTAAAAAGAAAAGTTACTTTTAGATATCTCAAAAATACAAAAAGTTAAAAGCGGATTAAATTTATTAAATTAGTTTGCCCAGAAACAGACAGACAGATTTGGCTGTTGATACAGATCAAGAACATGTGTATATAGTTTTTTTTGTATGACCAAATTTTCAAACTCTGCAAGTGTATATCAGTGAATATATAATCTGCGAGCAGTACTGCCAATTCAGCTATTTTCCAGTTGGAATTGGCTATTTAGCTTGTTTTAGCCATTTTTAACATTGAATACCGCTTTTTTGAAGCGGCATCGCTGCCTATGAGCTGCTTGTAAACAAATTGAAAAGCCATTACATACTGGTCCCAGACAGTGTGTATAGTTGTCCACAACCCAGAAGATGGGCGTCATGCACACGTCGGTGGCATAGCTGGAATTCATGTGTGCATTGAAGGTGAGCGAGTGCCAGCAATGGTTCATATAGCTCCAGCGTAGGCGAAATGTGGAGCTGCCGGTAGAATAACAAAGTTTACATATGCACAACAGACAGATAATCGAACACCCGGTCTCACACTTACACTAGACTCTGTGTGGAGTTTGTGCGCCATGTAATGCGCGCCATTGTGTTCACTTTTAACTTATGCTCTAATTTTGTAAACTAAAAATAAAAAGGCGCATTTGCATTTTAATGCTTTTATTTACAATCATCCGTTCGATGCAAACAAACAGTGTTGCGTAACCCGAAAACTTAGTGTTGGTAAGTGCCTAGTTACTTATCGCACAGCCACCACAAGCAGTAAGTGAACTTTTATCGATTGACGCCAGAAACGTTTTGAATTTAAAGCTGATAAATTAACAAATATTATTTCAGCGAAAATCGCTGTGTTAGATCATTTTGTATAAGAAACAATAGAAAGCCAGCGACTGTTGAGAATATTTTGTTGATCAGCGAACCGTCCAGCTCTAGCAGACCCATTGGCATCAACTTGTATTTAATTGTACTCACTTCCAGCCATAATGCATCCACAACTTGCTTGAAGCGCACGTCGGCGTGCTCCAAATTGATGCGCTGCAGCAAGTCACCTGTTTCCTTAGCCTGCAAGAAAGCGAATAGTTTTATTTAAATTTTACAGACAACTCGGCAAACTACTTCATCTAGCACTTGTTGACTGACGCGCGCCACCAAACATATTTCTGTGAACGGAACCACCAAAAAGACAAAATGTGCCAATGCTCGGGGTATATCATAGGCCTCTTCGAGCATAATATGATCAGCAACGGCTTGATATTGCGTGTAGAAGCCCAGCGTTGTGATAATCAAATTAATGGCCATGGATGAGACTAGCGAGATGCCGGTTAGCAGCAGATAGTTCATGGAGTAACCAGTTGACAGCGTATACTTGCACGCCAGCTCATCCAGACGATCGGCCAGGTCGCAGAAGCGTTGTATACGATAGTAGGATTTGTGCAGCAGCAACTCCAATTGTGTTTGCAATCTGTTCACCTCGTTGAGAATCTCACGCAATCGCCTGTTGATCGCGACCAGCACAATCTTGGTAATCACAATGCCGCCAAAGAAGCAGTTGTTCAGCTGGTTACCCAAGTAGATGGGCAGCATTATCTTGGCTGTGCCTATCCAACTAAGATCGGGTTGTTTATGTCTCTGGTATACAATCAGCGTCAAATGCATCAGGAGCGGAAGGACAAACATCTTGAGGCTGGCCAGAGACATGGCCCGGCCCACTGATCTCAGTGAGATGGTAAAAAAGTCGATGGTGCTGAATAATGGCAAACTGTTCTGAAAACTCAAGATTTCCGGTACGATGGCCCATTGGGTCACATAGTTGATCAGCGCCACGCAGAGGTTCATATAGCAATAGATCTGAATGGGATCGCGCAGATCGATTTTGTTCTCGCTATATGCCACCCATATCTGAGTCACATAGAACGCGCCAATTAAAGTGGCCACAGAAAAGCAGTAAATGGCCAAAGTCTTGCAAAACACAAACTTCTTGTGCTTGAAATCGAAACAACACGGAAAGATCCCATACACAATATTCTGCACTATAGCAATAATCAAACAGCCCATCACCACGCGACTGGTCAGTGTCCAGGAGCTGCGCAGTCGAGGCGTCCGCCAGGAGGCGCGTATGCGGCGTGTTGCCGCCTTCAGGTGTTGCATGGCACTGACACGCACCGGCAACGATTTTATTGCCTCTTAATTAAGCTTCGTCCTTATCGCATACGTAGCATAATTAAAGCACTTAACATATTAAAACTGACTAATTTGGTAAAAGGCAAATTACGAGAATCCGGGATCCACTGTATTGTTGTAGCTAAAGGTCATAGTACAAGTAACTAAATCCTATTCTTGTAATGTCATATTAAATAGTTCATTGTTTGTTTTTATTAAATATCTAACGTCTGCTTTCTCACCCATTTTCCGCCTGTAGGCGTGCTTTTGTCAACATTCGAGAAACCACATACCGCTCCTTTTTGCATGTAAAGACTCTGAGCATACACTTAAGCCCTATGAAAGAATATTAAACGTTCGCATATAGAACCTAAATCCTCCATCTCTCTTGAGAATTCCGCCCTTAACAGTGACTTATCTAAAATCGATTAAATACTGTGCACAAAAATATTCTTCTAGATCTTTTCAAGTAGATGCTATAAAAAAACAACTAACCATAGAAATTATGCAAGAAAAACCACCGCAGGAAATATTTTCCTACATTTTGTTTTATAGCAAATGGTTCCACTAATTTTCCATGACATAATCACCCTTGACAGTGAATTGTAATCGACTAAACATATCTCAAATAAGTTTTCATATAGATCTGTTCAAGTACATTACGTTGTAGAAAACTGTGTTCCACCTCTTTTTGTTAATTTGCAATCCCATTCCATGCATTTTCCATGCCTAAGAGTGGAATTCGCTAACTAAAATCATAGAAATAAAGTAAGCAATTCAGCTATCTAGCTCTAAATTTTATATCATATATAAATTACATTTGTCGTTAGTCTATAAGATGTATCTGCTGAATTAAAGTGGCTTGTACTCCAATTTGGATTCCAGCTTCTTGTTGTCAGCAGTCTTGCGCACGGCCTTCATGAAGTCCTCGTGAATGACATACTCGCGATCCTCGCGCAGTGCAAACAGACCCGCCTCGGTGCAAATGTTGCGCAGGTCGGCGCCATTGAACATGTCTGATAGCTTTACAACCGCCTCGTAGTCGATCTCGCCCTGTTTGGACAGAGGGGCTGCATGAATCTTCAGTATATCGAGACGCGCTATTTCATTGGGCAAGGGTATTTCCAGTTTGCGATCCAAGCGACCGGGACGCAGTAGTGCCGGGTCCAGAGTGTCCGGACGATTGGTGGCCATTATAATTTTAACCTGGCCGAGAGCATCGAAGCCATCCATTTGGTTCAGCAGTTCCATGAGCGTGCGCTGTATTTCACGATCCGCTGAGGTGCCCTCCGAGAAGCGACGCCCGCCAATGGCATCGATCTCGTCCATGAAAATTATGCACGGCTGATGGTCGCGTGCATAGGAGAACATCTCGCGTATGAGACGTGCACTCTCACCAATATACTTGTCCACAATGGCCGAGGAGACGACCTTCAGGAAGTTGGCATCCAGCTGGGAGGCAATGGCGCGTGCCAGCAGCGTTTTCCCAGTGCCGGGCGGACCATACAAAAGACACCCCTTGGGCGGATTGATACCAACGCGTATAAATAGTTCGGGATTCATCAGAGGCAACTCGATGACCTCGCGCAGCTCGCGTATCTGATCACCCAGACCACCAATGGCCGAATAGTCCACATTGCCGGGATCTTCGTGCGTCATATTGTACACCTGTGGATCCACCTCGCGTGGCAGATAGCGCATTATGGTCAATGTGGTCATGTCTAGGGCGACTCGTGTGCCCGGCTTAAGCTTCGCCTTGTTCAACTGCCGGCGACAGCCGACCACATAGCGTGGCCCATTGGCAGACTTTACTATAAAGTTGTCCGGCGTCAGCTGCTTGAGCACCTCGCCCAGCATTTGGCCCACGCTCTGCAGTGCCTTCAGGTCATCCTCGGACTTCTGGAATTCTAGATGCAGCTCCTTGTGCTTGTCACGCAGCGATTTCAAGCGCGACTCGATTTCGCGATGCTCTAAGAGTTTGGTGCGATAACTGGATAACGCGTTCACGCGCTCATCATTCAGCGGTGGACGTCCAGCTGGTTGGGATGACATTTCGCCTTAGATTTATAGCGCTTGACTTTTCAAATTTCAATTGGAAGCAAATTTATTGCGTTCACCGGACTTAAAACTGCAAATCACGTCTAACGATTTTGACGTTTGAAAAGCAAAGGAACGAAATTAAAACAGCGGACTTTGCAAATGACAGCTGAAACAAGGTTGCCCAACTGCTTGAGAAAGTAGATCTATATTTGATGCTCAGCAGTTGGAGTAGAAATAACTGTCAGCAGTAGCCGTAATATTTGTGTGACGAGCAATTCAGTTAGCAGTAAGTATTAAAATGCATTTGACTGGCGTATAGTGCCTACAAAAGCTCAAAAATAAATAAATTGCAGTACATTTTTTAAATGTTGTATCGCTGGTTTTATTCTTGCAATTATTTTTGAATTTTTTTGCAGGCTGTTCAATAGCTAAAATATAAGAGCATAATGTTTAAAATTTTAAATATCGATATGTTAGCTGGTCGTGTCTTAACAGTATAAGACAAGCAACGATAGTATTGCAGCTAAAGATTGATCTCTAATTTCAAACTATAATTGTTATTTCTATTTAAAAATTAGAAAGAAACTTTTTTTATAGGCCTACACCAACTTAAATCAAATTAATTAATCTACCGAACTAGTGTTATAAAATAAAAAACATACTAAGTATTTATCGTTCTCTGTTAATAACAGCTGAGCACATGTTAATGCTCTTTCCAATGTTATGTCTAACTGTTAAATAACATTCCACCTGGTTGATTGGCCGAATTTTTATTTTAGTCCATCAAACGCGTCGCAGATGAATTTGTATTTCGTAAAAACGCATAAAACCAGCTCGTTCGTGTCCGTGCTGCAGCGAAAAATGTTTAACAATGTGTAGTGTGACGGTATATTTAACTAAAATTAATGAATTCAACTGCAATCTGGCAATTGCGCGACTCCGCTGTGTGTATGTGCAATTGGCTGCTGGGAGAGCGAATATGTAGACATGAAATAAAAGCAAAAATTTACAACGAACTGCGAAAAGCAGCAGCAGCGGCAGCAGCGCACCCAACAGCAACGTCAGCTTCGTTGGGACGGATGGTTGCTTGGTCGGGCATTCGATGCTAATAATTTCTCCGGGGGCTCTCGCGCATCTGGTGCTCCGCTGGACAAAGTGCGAAAAGAAAGTATATACAGTGATTGTGCGAGTGTGCGACTGTGTATATGTGTGTGTGCGTGCGATTTATTTATGTTGTTTAGCAACGAAATCAAACGAATTAGTTTAAGAATGTTTGTGTGCAAATATTAATTATAAGAAACGCAAAAGTGCAAAAATGTTTACCAAGAAATCCCACGCGGATGTTAAAAAGTCGACGGCCAAGCTGCAAGATTGCAAAAAGGATTCGGCCTCCCGCCTGCGCCACCTGCGCACAATATTAGGTAATGTACTTGAATACAAATTAACGCCTCTCTATAAATTATTTAATAAAAAAACTATGCAAACAAAAGAAAACGAGTTGTATATGTGCATATATGTATATTAATATTTTTGCTGCTGGACTGGACAGGTGGGCGTTTGACCGTGGTCGCTGCCATTTAAAATGTAGCAATATTAAGCGACAAATGTTGATTATTATTTTATAGCTGCGGCCCACAGCGCTTAATGCTATTTCCTGTTGGAGCACAATACGTACATACATATACATATTTACATATGCTAATACATTTACTCCCACAGTTCAAACTCTGCTAACTCAGTAATGTTAATGTTTCGTTAAATAAATAAAAAAAAAGCATAACTTATGAAATGGCAAATATATTATTGTACATAAGTAGACAGGCAAATCACACACACATATATATTAAAATACATTGGCGCATACACTGTACTATTTACTCTATTCTACTATTCTACTTCAACTGTTAAATTTAACAGCATACTAAATATAATAACTTAACAAATGCCAACCACATTCTAATGTATGCAAAAATTAGGCATACAAACGCACACCGCACAGGCACGCACACATGTATACTTAACGCGCAATGTGTGAAAAAACGTCAAATGATAAACGCGGCACACAATTATTACGGCGCTTACCAACTGGCGGCAACTGTTGACTGAGTGGCAACATTGTTGCTACAATTTCAACACCAGCCAAAAACATGCATGCAATACATATACAAATGCACATACCTAGGTACATACTTACGTACATATGTACATATGTATGTGGCTGTGTAACTTTCTTTTTGTGTCATTGAACGCAGCTATTTTAAAAAAACACCCAACAGGTGCCTGCCCACCCGCTCGGCTCCATTGTTATTGTTGTTTTTACTCGGCAAATTACACGCAGTTTGTGCTACACACATACACACACACACCAACACTCACACACACTCATACATATGTAGCTAATTCTTTTTTCCAATTGTTTGTTACTTTATCAACAAGCGCGCTTCGCATTTGGCCTTCTATGAAACCAGTTTTAAAGGTTTCTTGGCCTACTCTTTCCGCTCAACGTTTAGCTTTCTTCTGTTTTGCAGCGTTTCGCTGATGACAGCTACACATGCCGGCAGCAGCTACCTTCCCCTTCTCCACCCCCTGCAACCCTTTTACCGCTCTGGCACTGATTCATCAAACGTTGGTTTTTTCAACGCATTTTTGAACCCGCTTCTGCGGTTTTCGCCCGTTCGTCATGTTTTCTTTTCTCGAGTCTGCAGCAGAATAGTACTATGGAAATCGCCTGCCTATATACATATGCACATGCGTATGTATATATATATATAAATACATATATGTCTATCGTTATCGGCGCACTTGCATATGCTGGCTCTTTGTTTATTGGCCAATCAATGTTGACGTTGCGTCAGCGTCCACCACCTGTTGCTCAAGTGGGAAGCGGGCTGTGCTTATCAGATCAGAGCGGGAATTGGGTTACTCGGATTTGTTTTTATATATGTACA